TCTCGAGATTCTCCTCTTTTTTTTATACCTTAATATATATATATTATTATAGTATATTTACATATTATATATATATATAATATATATATATTATATATATATATTTATATTTAGGCGAATCTATAAAAATAAAAGGAAAGCGAGTTAGGATTTAAGTTTTCTTTTTTACGTCCCCGTGGTGATTTAATAATTAAATTGATTAACGATTGTTGACATTTTCTGAAAAGGAGATTTAGTGGGTATGTGTATAAAAAAAAAGTCGCATTAGCGACACGACTGAAACTTCTGCTTTTTTTTCTTATTTCTTAGTTTTGAAAGAGTCAAAGGGGTCGAATAATGCAACTTGTCATTAATTAAGCTTTTTGATTCTTTTTCTCTTTTTTTTTTTTTTAATTTTATCTATTTTTTAATAATTAATTAATTTTAATTATTATGTTAATGTTATTATTATTAATACTATTATACGGCAGATGTCAATTGAGTCGGGTGCAATGCTCCTGAATTATATTATTTAATTGTGAAATTTTTTTTTTAATTTCCTGCACCGTTTTGCTATTTTTGGGTTCTTTAAATAAAAAAAAAAAAAAAAATCGGCAATCGGTGGGTGGATTTGTAACGTTTGCTAGTCAGAATTGGTTTAAGAAAAGAGGGGGAGAAAAATAACGAAAGCTAGGAATTTTATTTGTTACTTTTAAGGTTATTTTTAGTCCTGTTCTCGAATAACCCTGAACTCAAACGCTACTGTTCTTTTTTAGTTTATTAAATATTCTCGTAGAATCGGAAAATTAACTAATTTTTTTTTTTTTTTCAAATGAGCTTGTGCCTAGTGTAGTGAAAGCTGCCACGACTTTTAGTTGATTATATAATATACCGTTAATTTAAATCTAATTACTACGCCCTACGAAATATTAGTTTCGATTGATTATATTTTATAATTATAATTACGTTAAACCCGCGTGTAATTTTCTGTCTTTGTTTTCACGTGTGTTTTACATTATTTTACTTGATGTGATATTTCTAGTTTCGTGTGTGTATACGTCTTGGGGTAATATTGAAAAAAAAAACACAAAACCCTGAGAAATTACGTTCTTCCTATTTTATATAGTTTTTATAATAAAAAAAATTTTTTTTTTTTTTTTTAGATCGATGTTACCAGGCCATTTTATTTTTTATTTAAAACGGTAACATCCGTCAAACAAAGGCAAGCCCAATGAGATCTCGTTTATAAATCAAATTGAAAAAAAAAAAAATGTTTTTCAAGTCTCTAAAATACGCTGACGATTGTCACACGAAATTTAGGACACGTGCATTTATTAAAGATTATTAATTAATATTGTCAAAAGACATCGGGGGTTTAGAGTCAAAAAAAAAGAGTTCAAGTAATGTGCCAAATCATCTTCCGAGGAAAATTGATAAAAAAAAAAAAAAAAAAAAGAAAATACGCCTGAATAAAAAGAAAAACTAAATCAAATCTCAAACTCCCGATGTCTTGCTTTATTGTAATCATTACTATTAGGTTTTAGTTAGTTTTTATTGCTGCCTATTATTACTGTTTTTATTGTCATTATTACATAGTTGTCGATTGTCAAGTGACTACCCTCCAAACCCTCCAAAAACCCCTCCCCAAATATCCTTTTTTTCTTGACAATTTTTTGTCAAATTATCTTTCGGCAAGTGAGATGACTGTTTCAGAAAGTGTGTCATTGGCAAAATGCTCTTTTGTAAACAAATAACCGTACCAGATGTCAAAGAAAAAAAAAAATTCCCACCGCTGCCACTAAACGAAATTATAAAAGAAAAATAAAATAATATAGGCACTAACTTTAAAGAGAAAATTCTCATTTACTTGTTCTTAAAAATTACGAGAAATCTTTGCCACAAATTAAAATTAAGGAAATATTCTTTGACATTGGAGGTGTTATTTGTAATACCCAAGGAAGTAGCGTACAATTTCAAAATTTCAGAAACAGGGAAAACTCTAAAAAAAAAAATAAACAAAGAAAAGAAAGAGAGAGCAAAAAAATACGACGTGAAATATGTAACATATCGTCTATTGTAAAAAAAAAAAACGTTCCAGTCTCTTTCGGTTACGAGCGAGTTCCAAGTGTAGAAACGATGAAAAATCGTCATTTCATGTTATACAGAAAATATCCGAATGCAACCGTGATTTTTAGATTCGCGAGCCTTTTTACATTTTTCGCGCGACACGTTCGAATGTTATAATAATAATAATAACTAATGGCAAAACATCAGAAAAAAAAGGAATGAATGAATGAAAACAAAAAATAACGTGAGCGCAAAAATTCGAACGAGTCAAAACTATAATTATATTTCAGGACTACTTATATTAAAAAAAAAAGAAAATTGTAAATAAGTATCCGAAATTAAAGGATGAGAGTGCAAGAGAAAAAGGTGATTACGTGTATTAAATTTCTACTTCCTAGGCAAATGTTTTTAGGCTGTATAACGATCTTTGATGACGAGAAAGAAAAGAAAAAAATTTTTAGCGTACAATTTTAGTGCGACGCAAAAATTTTAGATCCTCACTGAATAAATATGCCTTCGATCGTGATTTTTTGTTTGTTTTTTTTTGCAAAAAATGACAAAATTACTTTTTTCGCCCCTCGATCATTGAGACAAAAAAAGTATATATATATATATATAAATATATAAATAGTGTGATGTAAATAGTATGCATTTTCGAAACGATAGAAATTAAGTGAATTTTTTTTTTTTTGAGAAATAATGAAAATAAAAAATAAATAAAGCAAAAAAATCAACGATCGAAAGTGTGCAGTGAGGTTCGCCTTAAAATTAAGGTCTTAGAAATTAAAATGTCGGAAAGTGTAATCGCGAGGGCGACTTGGTGTGAGCAAGTGACAGTGCGAATCGTATAAAATTTTGAAGAAAAAAAAAAAAAAAAAAAATGGTGCGTATAAATGACAAATTGCGTGCGAGTGTGTGAGAAAGATAGAAACAAAATTTTACTACCAAGTGGACTAGAATCGCAACCGATGGGCATTATTAAGCGAAAAAAAAAAATAATGAAGAAAAAGCAAAAAACTCTTTTTCGGAGCCTTTTTTCTCAAATGATGAAAAAAGCGTCCAAAATTGTACCTATTTTCATTTTATAAATTATATATATATAGATATACGATGACCTCCAAACTGAATAATTATTGTGAGTATATATAATGTAAAAGGTCAAAACACAAATTATTGTATCTATATTCAAAAAAAAAGGGTGATGACGATAATTGTATTTGAGTCGTGATTATTAGATACTGTATAGTTAAGGAGAAAATGAACGTTTTAGGCGAAAAAAAAAAAAAAATTATTGATTAAGGGAGAAAATTTAATTATTGGAATTATTAGTCGAAGGTTCCTCGATAAAAAGAAGAAAAAAAAAAATGATTGTACATTGTATGTTGGCAGAAGCGATTTCCCCTCCCTAAAACCCCCCACCCCCTTCCAAACAGAAGAATAATCCAAAAAAAAGTTAATAAAAAAAAAAAGATAATCACACTCTCGGAAAAAAAAAATTTGTACATTTGGATATTGTAATTTATAAATGTACCTTATTTCTTCTTTTCGTATATAAATATTATATATACATAATGTAATAAATACAAAAATAATCACGAATTTCTCATCCAGACTAAGAAAAATTTCGAATGTAAAAATAATAATGTAAAAAAATATCAAATATTTGAGATAAAATTTTTATTCAATAAAATTATGTCTCGATGAGTAATCACGTGATTTAAAAAAAAAAGAAGAGCTTGAAAAGCAGAAAAAAGGGACGCAATATCAATTTCTCGGTGCACCTTCGAGATTAAGTTTCCTATTTTTTTTTCACGACATTTTTCATACAATACAAGATTTTTACATCTTTCACTCGTATATAAATATATATATATATAAAAAAAAGACAATTACGTCCGTTGATCTCATTTTTAAAAAGTAATTTTTCGGACGCGAACGATTTTATAAAAAAAAAGAAAAATTGTAATTCTATTTTAGAAATGTAAAAATCGTTCGCATCCCAATATTGCGATTCTCATCCCCGCGAAGAATCCAAGCAACTGCCGATTGACGGACGTTAATTGTCGCTCTCTTCTTTTTTTTCGTTACAGCAATTTCAGTTTTGTATTTACCACGGGAAAAAAAATAGCCAATAGTATCACATCAATAAACCATTAAAAAAAAAAACCAAATTTGTATAATCCCAGAAATCCTTTTTCCTAAAAAAAAAAAAAAAAAACAAAAAAAAACAAAAAAAAAAAAACAGAAACCTCCTAAAAATCTTATTCTTTCCAAGTCACCCGACATCATTCCCCCCACCCCCTAAGTATGAATGAATGTGTTAATAAATGTAAGAGGGAAAGCATCGAGCAAAGAACGACTAAAAAGCACATATTCGTCGGACTGTAGGGACATTTTGCATTAATTGTGTAAACACGAGAACTTAAGGAGAAAGCAAAAAAAGCTATTTAAACAAAAACAAAAAAAAAAAAAAAATCGCAGAAAGGGCGGAAAACAAAATGTACGAACGAACATTGATACTACTGTCTTCGTTATCCTTTTTATTTTTTATAATATATATAAATATATATATATATATAAAATATATATATAGATAATGATACGTCGTTTCTCCGTTCGACACGCTACTACAATATTGACATTGTCGCATTATTGATTATTGATTATTACCATTATTGCGAACTATTAATTATTACGATTTATGATTATTATTATTATTATTATTATTATTAATATTATTATTATTAATACCTTTTATTATTGTCATTATTATCACGATTATTATTATTATTATCATATTGATGACGATTATTGCGATTATTATTGCGATCATCTTTATGGTTATTATTATTATTATTATTACTATTACGTGGTACAATAAAAATTTAATAAGCATATTGAGTTTTATTATTGAATTAGAATTTGGTTTGTCTTATTTATTTTAAGGCAAGTTTTATCTTTAGTTCTGTGACCTTTTCATTAAGTTCCTATATGATATCAATGATAATATATATGTGTATAAAACATTAAAGCAATAGGGAGAAAACAAATTTATCTTTTTAAATACTTTTAGTTATCAACGAAGAACGACGAGATCGTGAACGTTTGCTGGGATATTACGCTTTTTTTTTTAATTTAAATAAAAGTTTTTAATTTGGACATTTGAAAAAAAAAAAAATTAAATAAAAATGTTTCGTGTAACTATTAAAATTTGTCGTAATTTTAAATTTGGTGAAAATTCATCAACAAAATTAGAATCGATTATTAATTATGAGAGACGATATTTATCGACACAAGAGGCGAAAAAAACTTGTCTTCATGATCTTCATGTGAAACATCAAGGTTAGAATTATTATTATATTATTATTTCGAGTTAGCCCTCCCACCCCCATGTTTCTAATTTAAAAAAAACTTTTAATACACAGGCACACAAATAAAATTTCAATTGCCAGAATTGCCATGTGATAGGTTCTCTTCCTTAAGATGTATATCTAAAGAGAAGAACGTAGTCCGACCTTAAAGTTAGTTCGTGTTCTTTTTCTACAGACATAGTGGGGGGCGTGATTTTTGAAAAATTGATTTCTATGGGAATTTACTTAATTTCTATATCTAAAACTGAATTTTTGCTTCTTCTGAATGTTGATTTGAATTCAGTGACTTTAATAACATAAAAATTGGATATATAAAAAAAATTTAAATGGCGTTTTTTGGGTTGCTATAATTACAAATATGATGTTAGTTTATAAAAATTCAAAATGGCGGATCCAATATGGCGGACAAAAAAAAGAACCGATTTTTTAATTTTTTGTTTCTTGAATATCTTACCCTCTTATGGATTCAAATGATCTCAAGAGTGGAGCTCTTTTTCTCTTTTGTGAAGTTTTAAGTCTATTGTATATATCTTTTTAGCGTCCAACAGTATTACAATAATTATATCGTATAAGAATGATTTCATACTGATCATAGGTAAGCGTGAGTGCGAGAGAGACGCTAATGGAATTGCGTATAAGAGTGTCTTCGTCGCACTTGTGAGTTGGTTTATAGTCAATCATTTTTACTGTATATATTAAACGACTTTCACTAAGTTCATAAACTCCCGTATAATGTAAAAATGCAAAAAATTTAATAAATTTTAATTTCTTAAATACCTTATCCCCTTGGATTGATCTCCGGAGTGGAAAATTTAATGAATTTAAAAAAAATCCGCTCTGTCTACCTGAAACAAAAAATAAATTCAATTAATGTAAAAGTGCAAAAAATTTAATGAATTAAAAAACAAACTGCACTGTTTACCTGAAACAAAAAATAAATTCAATTAATAATTCAATTTAAATTAATTAAACACTAAATGATTATTTTAAATCTGTTTTACCGACGTAATCCATCAAATCTGTTTCATCAGCAGTCGGTAAAACAGTTTTTTTTATGTAAACCGTCAAATAAGTTTTACCAGCAGTCGATACAATAGTTAGAGTAGAGACTAAGAATTATCATCGATTTAATCACTCTAATCTGTTTTATTAGGAGTCAGTAAAACAAATCAGTCTAATCTGTTTTATCAGCCATCAGCAAAATTTATTTTACTACTACTTTTTAAAATAAACATATTTTCACTGAATTTTGATTTTTTTTATCCTCAGGCAAAATTGTAAATTTCTCCGGTTGGTTATTACCAGTGCAATATAAAGAAGCAATAGCTGCATCACATCAACACACGAGAATGTTTGCGTCCTTATTTGATGTTGGACACATGTTACAAACGCATGTAACCGGTAAAGACGCAACTGAATTCCTCGAATCCTTGACCACAAGTGATCTTAAAAATCTCGGTCAAGGATCAGCTACCCTCACTGTATTTACCAATCGAAATGGAGGAATTTTGGATGACCTAATTATAACAAAAGATCGTGAGGACAAATATTTTGTTGTCTCCAATGCTGGTAGACGAAATGAAGATACACAATTATTATTAGAAAAAAAAGTAAAAATTCAAAATATGTGGATGATATTCATGCGTTCCATTCGTTTGTTTCATTTAATATACTTCTTTTTGTAGGATGAATTATTAGCAAATGGAAAGGATGTGAAATTAAATTTTCTAGATCCCCTCGAGCAGGGTTTAATTGCCCTTCAAGGGCCAACATCAGCAAATTCATTACAATCGTTGTTAAACATTGATTTAATGAAACTTCATTTTATGAATAGTATTGAAACTGAAATTATGAATGAGACAGTAAGAATATCAAGATGTGGTTACACTGGGGAGGATGGCTTTGAGATTTCAGTACCAGAAAAAATTGCCGAACAATTAGTGGAAAAAATTTTGACGATACCAGATGTTAAACTCGCGGGACTTGGAGCAAGGGATAGTTTAAGGTAGGATCCACAGGTGTGTGGGTGGTGCTATTCTTATTTTTTCGACCAATTTCCGCAGACTGGAGGCTGGTCTTTGTCTCTATGGACACGATATCGATGAAAATACAACCCCCGTCGAGGCTACTCTAACTTGGCTTGTTGGTTCGTATTCAATTTTAAAAAATAATGAGCCAAAAAGAAGCATTTTTTTTTAAATTTAATTTTTAATTAAAATTTTTAGAGACGCATGAATTTTCATATATACATTTAATTAGAATTTCTTTAATTTAGGTGAAGTTTTATAGCTAAAAAAAAGAAAACTTAATAGTGAAATTATTTTTCAAGCTAAAAGACGTAGAGAAGAGGACAATTTTCCAGGAGCAGAAAATATATTGTCACAAATAAAAATGGGCGTGATGAAAAAACGAGTTGGTCTTTCAATGGGTCAAGGACCACCAGCAAGAGAAGGTGCTGCAATTTTAACACCTGAAGGAGAAAGGGTGGGTAAAGTAACTTCCGGTGGACCAAGTCCTACTCTTGGAAGGCCCATTGCCATGGGCTATTTACCCCCTAACTTAGCAAAAAATGGTAATTCTGTCCTTGTTGAAGTTCGAGGAAAAGTTTACAAGGCCATTATAACAAAAATGCCTTTTGTCAAAACAAATTATTATACCAATAAATAATAAATTTTTTATTTAAAACAAATTTTTGTAACGTTTTTTTTTTTAAATTAATATAATAAATTTCATATTATAAACTATCAGTTTCTACAAATTTTTTTATTGTAAAATTCCATGATTTTTAGGCAACATTCGGTGAAAAGTAAATTCGGCTATATAATAAATAATAATAATAAAATTATTAATTAATTTTTTTATTTTATTTATAATTGTATTAATTATAAATAAATAAAAAAAATTTTGTTGTTTGTACTTGACACCAGATGGCAGCACTTTTCAGTAATAACAGTCACTGACATCTATTAAATATACTGGGAACTACTTGATTAAGTGACTCGCATGATAATTGATGACAACTACTTTTCCAACATTAGGTACTATATTTTAAATTTTGATTTTTTTCAATAAGAATAATTAAATCAAGCGTATTTGAAAATTTTCAAATTTTTAAACTGGGTTACTATAGAATAAGAACCATTTTTTTTTATTTTTTTTTTTTTATACAACGAGTATTTATTTGGAATCTGTAAAAAGTACTACGTCGAGCTAAAATACATTTATTTTTTTTTTTTTCATAAAAAAGATCACGACTTCGCTTTGATGTTTTTAGACCCTAAATATATTCATCTAAAAAATGTATTTTCCATCACATTCAAATTCTACGTCTAGTTTTTTTTTTTTTCTTTTTTAAAGAGCCTTATGGCAATCGCAAAAATATGCCATTGTAAACTTTTTATAGCAAAAGTGTAAACATTTTTATCAAAATTTTTTTTTTTAAATGAGATCTTGTATTTTTACACAATATAGTATATATAAAAAAAAAACCCTATTTAGAAGATTCGCCAAGAAGACTATTTCTTGAGATTGACATTTAATGTGAAAATAATTTCCAGTATTTTTTTACATTAAAATAATTGAAAATACTGGAACTTTTTATTTCACTATTTTCTTTTCAACTCTTACTGTAGTACCTCTCAATTATCTAATATAAAAAAAAAATTAATTAACTTAAAACGTTATAAAGCACCACTTAGCTTTATTCTGAGCAAAACATTTAAGTAGATATTTTTTTTAACTCTTATACAAAATAATAAATGTTACTAAATGCAATCGTTGTACAAAAGTTATAAATGCAAAAATTCGAGATAATAAGAAAAAGAAAGTTGTATACAAAAAAAGTAAAAAAAATTATTACTGTACCATTTAAGAAAATCACAATTTACGAGTATTACGTAAAATTGACATTATAATTGCACTATTTTATTTTACTTTTAAATTTAAATTTACGAAGATGAAGAATATTTTTTTTCTCAAAGATTCAATTCTCTACTCTTTGATCATATATTTTAAGATTTTCAATTTAATGACGAAATATCAATTGCAATTACGACTAATAAAAATGTTTCTAAAATTTATATATATATATTTATATATATAATATAAATATATAATTGTATAATAATTATTTAAATTTTATGGCAATACAGACATTGAAGCGTGAAATAATTCGGTATATTTCTAGAGAAGATTTTTGCAAATTTTAAATCTTCACTCTACTTCTTTTTTTTTTATCTTCAAACATTTTTATTCTTCCTTTAATGAAGATGAAAGACATTGGTAAACTTTTATAATATTTTCAACCTTAAAGGTTTAAAGTTTATAGTTTTATAATTTTATAAGTTGAAATACAACTTTTACTTTCACATTTAGATATTTATTGCAAAAAAAAAAAATTGTTTTCTTTTTATGAAAGAAAACTTCTAAAATAATGAATGATATTTTGAAAATTATAAATAAAAGATTACCATTTTTTTTTTCTTTCAAATAAAAATACCAATATTATTTTCATGCCACTGGGAAATTTGAGAAAACATTTTTTGTAAAATTTTAATTAATTAATTTTGTTTTTGTTTTTTTTAAACAAAATAAAAATTGTGATCAATTATCATTAATATTTTATGAAGAAATTCCATTTGTTGGTTTTTGTGGAAATTTCACCAATCGAGTGAGCATTGATGTAATGCATGGAATTTGTTTTTGTTGATGCATACTAGCATTGTCTGGTGTATTTGATTCATAATCAAGAGCAACACGTTGACAGACAAATGTTAATAATGTCAAAAGATCATAACGATTTCCATTTTCACGGAATTCCGTGCATAATGCTTGCATAAACCAAGAGCCGCGAGTTGTATTTCTCCAGGAATAGAATCCTTCAAAAAAATAATGTTTATTTATTTGCATATATATATATATATATATATATATATATATATATAAATAAGGCATGTGCCCTTTCCAACAAATTCTATCGAAATGTTTTTAGACTGAATGAAAAAAAAAATTAATTAATTACACACAAAATGCTTAAAAGAAAAAGCTATGAAAATAAATAATAAACAAAAAATATTTGAATAAGCATATATAAGTAAATATAAATAAATAAACATTAAATATAAGTCAATTTGAACTAAGCAAAAAAAATAAATAAATGTTTTTGCACACAGGTCCAGGATCAACTTTAAGTCGCAAAAATGTAACTTTAGTCACATTTCATTATATATAAACAAATGTCTATATTTTTAATTCTTAATAAATATTTTTATTATTATTATTATTATTATTATTATTATTTAATATTATTATTGTTACACTGAAAAAAAATTTATTTGAGTCAATTAAATAGTATTTGTTTCAAATACAGAAATTATTGGTTTAAGTAAATATTTGATAATAGTCAAGTAATCGAGTATTTAAATCAAATAAATTTTACTTCAGTGTTTTATTATTATTATTATTATTATCAAATATTCATTATTAACTATTGCTATTAATTATTTTGTTTAATAATAATAATTAAATAATATTTTCAACATGGATTCAGTAATAGAAATATTTTTAAAAAAATTTACCGTTCCTTTTTGTCTTCAAAATTTTTTTCAGTCAAATTTATGCAAATTAATCTAATTATTATCTGTTTAATAAAATAATTGAAATTATCGTCAACTATTAAAATTATTTTCGTTTATTCAATAAAATAATCGAAATTTTCTTTAATTATTAAAGCAATTAAAATTATTTTCAAACTATTTAATGATATAATTGAAATTATCTTCTAATAATAAATTGAAATTATTTTCATCTATTCAATAAAACAAACGAAACTACTTTTCTTTCAATTTTAAATAGAAAAATGCTACTTGAATTATTTTTTATTTTTTTTAATTAGTCGCATTTTACACTATAAAAATCGAAATAATTTGTATTTTTGTTGTAATTTGAAAGCAGTGAAAAAAAAGTAATATACTCTGAGCCCTGTCGCATATTTTTAAATGCAAAAAATATTTTTAAAAAAATAAAACTACTAAATCAATTTAACCGGACCAATTATAATTTTATTCCGAGTTAAATCCTAATTTACAGGAAACAAAAGAAAATGATTAATAAAGTATTTATTATTTTTATTATTATTATTATTATTAATATTATTATTTACCTGGAATTGTGGAATAAGCAATCAAAAAATCAGCATGACTTGGAATACGGAATGTATTGTGAGGCATTCCATCGGTTTCGGTTCGTTCTTTAAGTGTTATTCCACCGTCGAGTTTGTCACCCTGACAAGCTTGAATGAAAAATAATTTTGGCTTACCAGACAATGAAGGACATTTGTCAGCAGTAAAATGCATCCAAATTGAATCAGCTTTATATGGTGTGTCATGGGCATAAAGTAAACCCAATTCGCCATGTGATAGTACAGCGACGAGCACGCAATCATGATTTGAATGATCCATTTCTGCGACTAATTACAAAAATAACAAAAGAAAAACAATTTTTAAATGTCAATTAAATTAATTCATTTTTCTTTTTTTTTATTAATTATTTTAATTTACGTAGATTGAAAAAAATAAATAAAATTCACCTCTTTCTAAATTCTTTATAATATCACGATGTGCCAAATTGTGAAAATCATTTACTTCAAAGCCAAGATTACGTAGTGTATTAACGAAATTTTCACAATCAACATTTGTGCCACAACGTTGTCTTAAATGGCTTACATTAAAGAATTCGTGGTTAAAAATTAACGCTACTCCTCGTTTTACATGACTCATATTATAATGGGTCGCATAACGCTCGGTTGGTGCCAAACGAAGAGGTCCTGGAAGAGGAGACACTGCATTTCTAAATAAAAACAAAAAAAAAATTAATTATATTACAAAGAGAAAATATTGATAAAACATTAATTTTTACAAAAATTTATTCATTTATTTTCTCTAAATAAATAAAATAAAATTTTAAAATAAGAAAATATTGAAAAAATATTACGAGGAATAAAATTTATATTAAAATTTTTTTTAAATTGAAAATATTAAAAAAGAAACAATAGTTTCAGAAAAATGTAAGAATCATCCGTTTATCTTATATAAATTTCCCAATAGTGTTATTTATTTGATGAAATAAACTCTCCAGAGCATATTTCCATTGTCTTCGGAGAAAAATCAATAAGCACGTAAACAATAGACACTTGTGCCATAAGCTACTTTGCCATGTAATATAACATAACGTACAAAAAAAAAACTCGAATTGTTCCAAGGAAAAAGCAAATTTTAGAATAACAATTTAGTCCTTGAAGTTTTATATATTTGTAAGGACTTTCTATACACATAATGCATGGCAACAGCAATATGGATGTAGGATATAAAAAAAGAAACTTATATTTTTTAACCTTACCTGCTTCCATAGCCAAATGCATCGCCAATATCACTGTTATTCACTGGCAGATTATCATTTTCTTCTTGTGACACTGAAGCCATTTTTTTCTCACTTTATTTTCTTAGAAATAGAATTGATTTGCGTTCAATGCACGCGAGTAACTGGGTTTTTTTTTTCTTTTTTATTCGTTTTGATTCACAACACAACAATCACAAATTGCTTCTACATAGAATAAATGGCGCATGCGCGAATAACTGGCGATCGATCACGTGATGCGTCATACAAAACATATTATTTTATCCAGAAAAATAATTTAAATTTTATCCACAAATGAGTTTTTTAAAAATAGAAAATTTCAATAAATTAATTTACCAAAATTCATTATATTTTTTAGTTTTTCTAATTTTGTAATTTTAATTTTCAAATAAGAAATATTAATCAGAATCTTGATTTCTGATATAAAACCTTTACCATTGGCAACACTGACATGTGAAGTCGGACGCAACGCATTCTGACGGTAAATTCAAGTACTAATAAAGTGGGGGTAATATTATTGCGGTTGACGCAAAAAAAAACAAAAAAAAAATAAAAAAACATAATCTAACAAAAGGAGTAAACAAAAATTATAGAGCACTTTACAATTAACTCTACCAAAATGGGAAATTTATTTTGATATGCTCACATTTCGTGCACTGTCTGCCCATCCCTGATGAATCTATTAATTTTGTAAGTTCCCGCCATTATGCGCATAAATGTGTGCGCTTGGACAAATTTAAAATTCTATGGTAGAACATTTTTTCTATTGACTTTGACCATAACGGCGAAAGCCGCCAAAAGTAAAAGGGGTAAAAGGAATAGCAAGTAAAGGAAAAAATGTTTACTAATTGCATTTCAACAATCGAAGTCTGGAGGGTTTATAACTAGTTATCTGAGGGTAAAATGTATAAGGTAAGATTTATAAAAATATTAAATAATAATATTTGTTATTAATTTTATTAATTTTTGTAATTTTATATTTTTCTAACCTCAATTAAATAATAAAGAATTTTATGAGAAAATTAAAATGAAATTCCATATTAGTTTAAAAAACTGCTTTATTGTGGCAGAACACATGTATTATAATAATACCAGCGTATAATCAGGAAGTTCATTAGTACATAATTTACAAATTACCACGCAATAATTTTCAATTGAAAATTGGTATACACATGATTTCATATTTTTTTTTGTCGATATTAATTGCAGGCGGATTTGGGAAACAAATTTTTTTTTTTAAATAAAAAACTAAATTTCTTCTTTTTACGAAAATTGTCACATTGTATATTTTCAATTGTTTTTGCATATTTATTATTATTTAAAATATTACTAAAAAAAATAATTAATGTAAATAATATTTGTGTGCATGAATAATATTTTTTTTTTTTTTAATTAATAAAATAATTAAATGACAATTTTTGCATAAGAAGGAAATTTTTTCACACACAGAGAATTTGTTCCAAATCTTATAAGTTATTGAAATATTTAATATCATTGACTTATTTAGGGGAAAAATTCCTTTTATCACTGTTGTTGAAATCAACAGATATGTGTAATATCAATCTATATATTTTATAAACATTCATGAACAAAATTTTCCCTCGCCGAAATAAATAGAAAATTAAATTTTTCTTTACTATTATCAAATCCCAAATCCGAGTAGGAAACTTATTTGTTTTTTTTTTTGGAAAAAAATTATTTCAAGAAACTCGTAGGACATAATATATATATGTATATAATGACTTCCAATAATTATGCAGTTACCGCTTTTGTTCCACACTTTTTCTGTAAAAGATTTATTATACGCTTTTTTTTAAAAAAAATTTATTTATTTTTTTCGAATAACAATAATGACTCGTTTCTTTCGACCAATGTTTTTTTTACTCTCTATAGAATTTAATTGAATTATATATATATATATTTATTTAAGAGACATGAAAATAAGTTTCAAAGATATTAATAACTGCGTATAATAACTTCGATGCTCAAATGTAACTTAATTAATTAGTCAATTAGTTAATTTTTTTTTTCTTAATTTGTGACTGTTCATCACACTTAGGCTATAACAATAATAGCAAAATTGTTGTCTTTTCTTTCTTTTTTTTTTTTTTTAAATATCTCTGACCCACCCCTTCTTCTAATACCCCTCCCCTACCCCCTTTTCTCAACCACTCGGAAGTTAATTTACAACTATTATAAATATTATTATTATTAATAATTGTATAAGTTATTCATTTATATATTATTACCGACTCTGTTATTTACTATAATATAAAGTTAAAAATGCGGGAAGTTTAAATATCTGCGAATGCACGTGTACCTAATCGACGTTATTTTTTTTTTTCTTACGGTATATGTTTTATAGATCGTGCAAAATTGGTCTTTAATTATAGAGATGATTCTCTATTTTTTTCCAGGAAATGTAAATTTAATTTTCTTCTTATCATTTTTTTTTATGGTATAATGTGAAGAATGATTTTTACAATTAATGAATAATTTTTTGAAATAAAAATTTAATAACAATTTTAATAAATTTAAAAACAAAAAAAAATAATAATTTATAATTATATTTTGATGTAAATAATTATTTTAATTTGCTTTTTTTTAATAGTAATGTATGTTGATGATAAAAGCAAAGAATTAATGATAATTTCCAATTTTGCGCGTCTTCGATTTTGACTGCCAATCTACGATTGAAAAAATTTTGTAAACCTACTTTTTTTTCACTTTCTTGAATTTTTTTTTTTTTCTTTTTTGACACGAAGCGTTGGTCGAAAAATCGTTGATGACTTAAATGTTTTATAAATTTAAACGTTTTTCTTTTTTTTTTGTTGTATTTTATACCGTTTGCAACTGCGACATTCTGATATTAAAATTGTTGATATTAGTCAGCTGAACAATAAAACATCAACCAACAATATTGGAATAAAAGAGGTAAATTCTACTTTGCGATTGCTTTTCAAAAGCGTACACTTTTGTTTTTTTTTTTCTTTTCTTCTATATGAGGAATTAATTCACCAGTTTTATAAGGTGTTTCGCAAATATAATATTCTATTTGGACAATTATTAGCATTTTAAGAATTAAAGGCAATCCAATTATACATAATTTCCCCCCTCCCCTTTTTTTTGTCAGAATATTCTGACATTCCGGCACAAAAAAGTTTGGACTCTTCTTTTTTTTTCTTTTTCTTTTTTCTTTTTGTTACTTTAGGGATACGCTATATTACAAATATTATACAGTGAATATAACAAAATTCCTGCAATGTGCGCGCGGTGATTTTATTCGCAATGTCGTTTACATTCAATTATATAGCATTTTAAAGCTTATTACAATAAATATATTTATATATTGCGCAATCGGACTCAACATTATGGCCATTTATACTCATGCAGTTTTTTCTTTATACGTAAATATAATTGCAATTTATTTATAATTCAGAAGATGAAATTTATTTTTTTTTTTTTGATAACTTCAGCAAATAAATTTAATTATTTTTATATCAATTACTTAATTTTACAATAATTCATACCAAGTTCATCAGGACTACATTCATCAAATAAAAAAAAAAAAAAAATTCTTAAATTAATACTAATTTGTTTAAATCTCACAGAGACGCAATCGCATTAGTTTATAATTGGCGGTATCGTACAATAATAATTTATTATATCTATCCTACTATATTACAAAGGATTTTCTTTTTTTTTCCGTTAATTGGGGTAATGAAGATCTGGCAAGTATCTTGTTTTCTTGCACTTATAAAGAGAGTTTTAGGTATCAGTTTTGAAAGTGAGGCTTGAAACTAATGCCATATAATTGGAATGGATTTAATGTGGTTTATAGGAAAAAGCGACTAAAGCTGATTTTCACAGAGCGATCCCAAAAAACTTTTTTCTTTTTTTTTTTTTATTGTCGCTGAAATGACCGCGTTATCAAAACATTTCAATATTCAATTATTTTTTCCCTTCAATTAAAAATGTTCAAAAATATATTAAAAATGTATAAAAAAAAAATGTTACATCTCAATATAATTTGATTAAATACAAGATTAGTTGAAAAATATTTATAGAAATGATAAATTTTTTCAAAAACTTTTTTTTATGTCAATGAATTAGTTTTGATAACGCGATAGCTTCGCGAGGATCTACTGTAACTATAATATATAAATACGAGTTTTTCGTTTAAAAAGTATTTTTTGCTATGATCTGTAAACGATGAAATTGTTATTTTTTTTTTAAGTGTAGAAATTGGAAAATTTGAGAATGGAAGTCAGTGTCCTCGCATTTCACACATTCAACATGTTTTGTAACAATAAAATTCAACAAATAAGGTTGCGATTAATTCGTGTCACTATTTTTTTTCCAGTAAATTATTAATTTTTTTTATAACTAAACTTTCAAATCACTTATGCATTTAATTTTTAAATTATTTTTTTTTAATTAAAATATTTTGGTACTATTTTTAGATAATTTGAAAAGACAACAATACTTGTTGTATAAGATTGTTACAAAATTCACTTTTTTTATATAATATATATATATCTCTAAATTACGTTTTATACACATAAGTCAAAAGTTTTTTGAGTTATATATTACTAATCGTACAATTTTTAATATCTATAGTTCATATATACAAATTGTAAAATGTCTCTGATGAAAAAGTTGTTTTTTTTTGGCATATAGTGTGACGTTATTTCCTATTTTTCTTTCTTTAAATATCTTTATCTCTTCATTTATTTCATTTTGTGTCACTAAACACAATGGTCACTTGTACAACTTTTTTTTTTTGTACACAATTCTCAATAAGACATGTTGATTTTCAAGAAATCGCAATAGTTATTTTCTTATATATATTTTGTTTTCTATTTTCTTTGTAATTTTCTTGTATAATTTTTTTTTCTTATTTCTATAAGATAGAAGACAATTGATCACTCTGTGTTTTAATCCATTTCTAAATATATCTATATTAGTAATTCTTACTCACTTATAAGAAGAGTATTTCTTTTTTTTTTTTTGTTCTTATTTTGGAAATATGTTTTGGAGTGAGGCGATTCAAATTTTAACTCAAGAAAAAAAAAATTGTATTAAACTAAAATACAAAAAAAGAGGGGAAAAACTATTTTTAGTTTCGTTGAATCAATAAAGAAAAAATGAAACTATTTTCCCGCTTCTAAATAGATTGAATATTATGCGAACTTATTTTTTTGGCGAGGCACGACTGGTCGTCAATTTTTTTTTTTTTTCTGTCGATAGTCGTACCATTTATTTGAAAGATACGTTCTTTTTTTCGCGAGAAAATCGAATTTCCCTCTGGACTCAGTCGCGAAATTGACGTTGAAATGTTTGTTTTTTTTTATTTATAAAATAAACAATTTATTTTTTTGAACTTTTTTGGATATAGTAAGAGAGAGACTATTGAAAAATGAATTTTTTTTTATAATTTAGAAAATAAATTTTGTTTTTTTTTTCCTTTTCTTTCATGAAATTTGTAATAACGTATAGCATATATATTGTTTCGTTCAATATTTTGAGCAAATTGAGTATCAAAAATTGTGCACGGATATAGAATGAAATTTGCGTTTATTTTTTTCTTCTTCTTTTTTGTGAATATTGTATATATTTACATCCATTGAGTGCCAGATCTTATTTTGAAAGACACATAAATTTTTTTATTCAATAATTAGAAAAAGAAACAATTCGAAAACTTTTTCTTCTTCGGCAAAAACTTTTTCTTTAATCGACTTTGAAGTTAAAAATCAAATTTTATTTCAATAAAAAAAAAGTATTAAGCTGATTAATTTTTTGTTTTGTTTAATAAAGTGGTTTTTATATCTAAATTTGTTGATTCAAAAGTTTGAAGGAAAAAAACAGTGAAAAGTGTAACAAATCAAAAGTAGATCGTTAAATTCCGGAAATAAAATAAAGTTTTGAAAGTTAGATATAATTCTTTGTAGGTGTATAAAGTTGAACAAAATGAAATTCATGGCTTCTTGAAATCTTTCCAATAGTTTGAATCTTTTTCCTCCGAATAGAGAAACAAAAGAATCTTTTTTCTTTTAATTGAAATTTAATAAAAAGAAAAAGTTTTCGTAGGTTTGAAAAATAAAAATTGAATATATAATTTGATTCGACTTTAGTAAACAATTTTTTCTGTTAACATAATCGAAAATTTCATTATAGTGCCTCATTGACTGGTCGCACATTTCCATTGATTTTTGTTCTTGCAATTTTCTTGTTTTTTTTCGTTAATATATTTATACGTATATACGTAAGAATTACAACAAGCTCGTCGCAAATTGGTACCTTAATTATTATTATTGAAATTGTTATTTATTTGGCAACACAAAGAACGATTGGATATTCGTTAGATGCTGGCCCGATGTTGATACATTGGTGGTAGCTGCAAGAGTGGCGTTAAAGGCGGAGGCCGAAGGTTCATAGCCGGAAGTTGTTGCATCGGTAGCAAATGTGATATTTTGCCAGGCGACCGACGCACTGTAAAGCGTGGTAATCGTCGTCGTTTCTTGTAAAAACCACTGCATCGACAACTACAAACCGACGCCCCGTCATCGTCCAGAGAGATAGTGTCACCCTGGTTACCCAACTGACCCGATAATATCGAGCCATTCGCTGTTATCACGTCGCCTTCCAGTCGCACCGCACCCTGCGCAGCCTGTCAATAAATTATTATTATTATTAAAATTTACTGTATTTAAATTTTTCATACAAAGATCTTAATGTGCCAAATTTCATCACTCTGAGTCAAAATATCTTTAAGTTGTTGAATTACCTGCAGAGCTTCAGCTTCATCTCTTTTTTCATCCTCTGTGTTCATCGTTACAAATCGTAGAACGAGAAGATTCAAAGAGGCAGCCACGATGGCAAGTCCAAAGAGGATAAAGATCAAAGCGAACATGACATATTCGGGCTTTTCTTCGAGAGCCCTATTTTTCTGTAAGGCTACCATGTCACCAAAACCGATTGTTGTCAATGTAATGAAGCAATAGTAGACAGAATCAAAGTAGGACCAGCCCTCGTATCTAGAGAAAGCGGCAGCTCCGCCTGCGATGGTTAGGATCGAAAGTGTTGTCACCACACAAATAAGATTTATTTCCGAGGCCTTAAAAATAAAAACAATTAATTAATCTCCATTCTTATTTTACTTCTATTTTCATTGGTAAATAAAAAAAATTCACCTGAACGTTCCTGCAGTTAAGAAGTCGTTTAACATTTCGTATCACAACGGATGAGAATTTATTCACCCGTTCTCCTATGCTTTGGAACATCACAAGGCCCAATGGTATACCGACGATCGCATAAAACATGGTAAAGAGCTTTCCCCTTATAGTATTTGGTGTCGAGTGTCCATAACCTGTAGGAATAAATCGATCTTAACGAGCTTCTTTGTTATCGATGAAACTATAGCTACATATTATATAAAAGACGTCGTAAATTTTTTTTTGTGTGTAAAAAATAATATATTTCTAGCGAAGTAGAATTTTTCACATTTTTTAATAGTTTAAAAAAAACACTGCTATATTTAATTGAAACAGATGAGAGTGGGCAACAGTGGATCATATTAAGAGTTTGGTAAAGTTAGTAATTCATTTCTCAGAAAACTGAAATCAGCCCACTCTACCTTATAGAGAAAAAAGTTTTTAAAAATTATAAATTTCTTTTAGTTTTTGAGCTGATTTTTTTTTGAAAACTCAATTTACTACATGCTTTCTAAGTATTGTTACGGAAGTAAGGAAAAAAGTTAGTTGGACTGAATTCAGAAGCGAATGAAACACATAAATCTCGAGATATTGCCGGAAGTCCTGGGTTACGATTTGAGCTCTCTTTCTCTTTCTCTTTGAAAAATGTTGAACTCGGCTAGAAAAGTCGGGACTAAAGCCAAGTGAGACACATACTTTCAGTTCTGTTTTTGAGAAGATAACAAAAGCTTGCTGAATAGAGAGCTCAATACCTATGTATTTAATTAGCATCGATTTTTGTTATTTTATATCCAAAAAGATTAAAAATTTGAAAATATATATTGTAAAAGGAGGCAGTAATAATAAACTTTATGTAAGTGGATAAAACTTTTTTTTTGTTTATTCACTTACCGATAGTGGTGAGCACCGTGGTTGCATAATAAAACGCACCGGCGAACTTCCACTGCTTACCGGCCTTGTGTGGTTCATATTTCAACACCACGGTTTCCATAATCTTGTAGTCCACTTCGCTTATGTTGTATTTATTAATAACCATTCTTTCAATGGCTGAAAGAAGAACAAAAAAAAACATTAAAAAATGAAAACTACATTACAATTTTCCATTTAAATTCAATGAATCTGAATATCTATATTCAATTATTTGAGAAATTATTTTATAGAAGGATAATGAAAATGGGAATTAATTCTACCTGTAAATTTTCTCACTTGACCGAAATTTATACTAAATATTTTATGTGTCGAGTAGCATTTCACATGCATCAGAAGAACCTTCGATATTGTATATATGTTTGGCTTGTAGAAATTTTAATTATCAATTTATCCATTTTACCCATTTCCAATATTGTTAATGTTTATATAATGAAATTATTTCGAAAAGGGATTATAATATACATCTATAAAACAAATATAAATATTCATTGAATTTCAAAATGAAAAAAGTTATTTAAAAAAAAAACCCCAAAAATATTATTAAAAAATCGAAAAATATTTTAAAACAATTATGGATAGTTTTCTATTTAATGGGCTATCAGATTAAAAAAAAATCTACCATCTAAAGCTTCCTTGCGTCGTTTTTCTGTTTCGGATTCGAGGACGTCAAAGATTGCAGCGCCAACGAGGAGGTAGGTGAACGTACAGACGATCAACGATAGGGTCCGGACGTTTTGCTTCTTCATTCTCTAGTGAGCCACATGCTCACTAGCTGGGCCTCAGCCCTAACTACTTGCATTTCTTAATTGATGACAAAAGAGGGTGCCGGGCCCATGACACCTTCTTTTTCTATTTCTTCTTTTTTTTTATTAATTATAAACCCCTTTCCACTTTCGAACAAGGAAGGTGCCCTCTTTCTCCCTCACACATACAAACACACACTCTCTCTATCTCTCACACACACATACTCTTACACACAAACACGCACACATTCACTCCGTCCAATCGCTACAGCCCCGGCTTGCGACTTCTTTTTTTTAAAGCGTCGTCTTTGCGAGCAGGTCTTCCGTTATGCCGCTTTCGTTCATCTGAAATGAAAATTTTCATCATTTTTAATAATTTGTTAAAATTTTACTTGACTATATCTAACAAGTTTCAAAAAAAAAAAATCCGTGATCTAATTTCGCGGAATCCGTGAACTAGTTTCACGAATTCCGTGATTTAATTTCGCGGAATTCGCGACCTAGTCTCACGAATTCTGTGACCTAATTTCGTCTTTTAGTTATCCTGTAATTAACATATTTTCTACTCTTAAAAAATGCATTACTTTATTGAAGTTCAAATGGGAGTTGAAATTCTTAACAATATATACATTAATTAACGGAAATAAGTATACTTCGAGACAATATTATTCTAATGTCTGAAGTGAAACACAAAAGAGAATAGTAACGTGATAAGATTATATTGATGCGCAATTCGAAATAACTTTAGAATGATTAAATTTACATTTTCTTAATTAGAAAAGTTGGTTTACTGTAGCTCTGTATCTATTAGAATAGGTGAGAAATAATGTCGATTGTATTTAAGAAGAAACACAAAAAAATGAAATTATTATCGACATTAAAATTTTTTTCAATTAATTGTACAACATTAATTTAAATTCTACCTTATAAAATTCTGCTAAATTAAAATTTTAATACAAAAATTTTTTGTTTTGTGTGGGTAATAATTATTCTTCTTATCAATATTTAAGTACATATTTTTTAGTAATATTTAATCAATGAGACGTAATATTTAATTTTAGAAAGCAAAAAAAAAATTCTTACATGCAGCTTGTTTTGTGTTTGACAAAGGGTTGAGCAGAATATGGCAGTGCTTTCGCTGCTCCCTCTGCCACGACCCCTCCATTCCTCGGCTTAACAGCATTCGTTTTCAATTTTGACTGAAAAATTAAATGACATTTTTATATATAAGTCCATTTTACGTGCGGAAATGTAAATTTTTAATAATTTTTTTAAAATTATCAGAACATTAAAAACATTTTTAAATGCAAAGAATTTATTCTTATTTCAAGAGTACATATATAGCATTCACTGAATTTAAAAAACAATTAAAATATTATAATTATTAATTCTTAAATTCAGAATACTTTTTTTCAACTCTACGAAAGAAACTTGTTGATATATATAAATGACAATAAATATTTGCATATTATTTACATATGTAAATGTTTACTGCCACATATTGTAAATGAAGTAAAAATATGGACAGAAAACATTGACTAATAAATAGTAAATATATATAGTATGTGTATCTTGTATACACTGTCATCATCGAATCAATGACTGCTTATCATAAATTTTACTATATATTGTACGGATTTTCTGTGTCACGTATGTGATATGAATAATTCATTTATAAAGCTCGCGAACATATATATATATATATATATATATATATATATATATATATATATATATATATATATATATATATATATACATATATCACTATTTCCATTTTGTTTCCTAAACAATTCTGATAATCCTTTGAATAACATACAACTTCCTCTTTTGGGAATAGGAAAAAAGTATTCGCTAGTCAATCGCAAAACTTTTAATATGTATTCACCTTGAGCAAACAATTTGCATACTTGAAATTGATATAAATTTATATATCGATAAAAAATATTTAAAAAATGTGAAAATTAAGCTGAGAAAATGTTCTGTAAAACTGATATAGATTTCATATATAATTTTTTTATTAAATTCATCCCTAAAATAAGCTTGTGCATAATAAAAAAATGCATTAAAAGTGAACGAACATTTTTTTTGCAAATAATGTGAAATCGCGATTTAGTTTGGATCGACAAATTCAAAAAGTTTTTGCCGTAATTCGCATCTTTCTGGTTAACCGCGTTTAATCGTTAAATTTCAAGCGCGAGTGATAAAAATCGCGCAAGTCTTTTTTGTCCCTGCTTTGAATTCTCATGAGTTTGCTATTTTTCTTTTTTTTACCTTTCTGTCTTTTTTTCTTCTTTTCTTTTTTTTCATCCCAAGAAAAAAAATCATCATTCCCCAATAACGAGAATATTAAGCGTCTGAGAATCTCGAAAGAACCAACGCAAATTCTTTTCGTGGTTTCCCTCTATTCCTCCCCTCTATATAATATTTTCATGTATTACAAAATTATGTATATAATTTAGAGGTGAAACGTGACTCGCACAACTTATTTCTTCAGCTAAAAAACATGAGAAAATAATAAGAAAGTTGGGATAAATTTTTTTTTGTCAAAAAAACTGTTAAAAATTTACATCACTTTGTTTGAAAGGGAATATAGGAAAGTCTCTTAGACAAACAGACGTCATATTAATAAATTGTATTAAAAAATATATCAAAATTGTAAATAAATTATAAGTGATATCATTTATAACTTATACATTTTTCTTTCTGTTTCAGATGACTACGGGCAAGAGAATATATAAAAAAATGAAGTGGCTTCGAAAAAAAGGTTTGTTTTATATTAAAGATGAATAATAAATAATATAAACAAAACAACACAAGAATAAGATCTATATTGACCGTTTGTCAACGGCTTTAGATCCTATCAAAAAGTAATTAAAACGGTTTGAAATAACGTTGCTTTAAATGATATATGATTAATATTGAACGGGATAAGTTTTGCTCAAGAAATAACAGTTATTTGCAAATTCCCATATTAATTTCGTATATTAAATTTAAGAATAAACTGCATCAGATTTAGAATATATTTTCTTATGCTGTACTATACAGTAGTCCATTGTCTTCCGTAATGTAGTTAATTTTAAAAATAAAAGAGTAAAATGAACAATTACAAAATTTATTTGGTGTTTCAAAAGCTAACTGAAAAGTAAATTGTCAATACTGTGGGGAATTTGTTGCTTTACGTTTATTTTATATTGCAGTAAAATCTAGTTTAGTTGAGCGGCGAAACGGTTCACTTGGAACCGCAAAGTACTCAGACGCATATATAGAACATTTTGAAACCATAATAAAGACATTTTGTCTGTATTCTATATATATACACACGGAATGTCAGTCGTTACTCATAGGATTAAAAGAGACATACAATATATATATATTTTTTAACGTACAAATTATTTCATTTTATGTAAGAAACTTTTTTCTAATTAAAAAGAAGGTTCATAAGCAATACACAAAAATGCAGTTAAAAAAATTCTAAATCTAAAAATAAACTATGTTTTGTTGCAGTTTACTCTTAAATTTAGTATATTCTAAAATTACCCAAGTTTTCAAAAATAATTGTATTTTGAATATACATGTACTTATATTTATACAATTTTTACGAGGCAAAAAGACATTCCTAACTGCAAGCTATATACAAAATATATATCTACTTAAATTGTCAGTCTGACCTGAAACGTCTGTTACTACTTATTGTGAGTAGTACAAGTCTGTCTGTATATCGACTTGCTGTGTTGCTTTTGAGAGAGGAAATATTTCTCTCCCATTCCCTCTCTCTTGGAACATATATTGCATCTTTCCACTTTGTATCAGGATTGTATATATATAGTCGTTGATACAACTGAGAAAATGTTTTACGCGGTTTCAAACCAAAATAGTACAATTGAATTGTAACACTATATTCTATTCTAGTCTCATCAAACAATTTTAAAAGTAAAAGATACTAAATTTAAGAATACAAAAAAAATTAAAATACGTGATATATGGTTATACTGTTAATTATAAATATTTAAATATAAATTTAAAAAAATATATATATTACACATATATAGGTGTATTCGTGTTATACTGAAGTATTCATTTCTTGGTTCAGGTGCTATAAGTTATTCACTCAAAACTCTCATTAAATAGACAAGCCGGTAATGCACTCGTATATAGCTTTCGTGTATATGACAGCACACGTGAAAGTCCAAGCCACAGTTTCTCCTGTATATGGATCTGGAAATTTATGCTCTTCGTACCCTTTCATCTCAGTTATACTGGTTTATATTTTTTCACTACATATATAAATAATAACAAAACGATTTCTTTTTTTTAAATACATTTTCCTTACAAAAAATAGACTTTTTTTATTCAATATATAATGAATAATAGCAAAAAGCCCTTCATTCAGGTTTTGTTTAGGAAAATTTTTTAAATAGTACGTTCAGAAACGGAACTTATTCGGCTTCTATATAAATTGTAGTTTTGAAGACAATTGTTAGAGTTAATTTTGAGAGGTTAATAAGTTTCCATCAAGAACAGTGACTCCTTATATATAGTTGAAACAATCAGGCAAATATAATAAACCGATAATATTGAATGGTGCTAAGAGCAAGGCAATATCATTTGCTATTAACACCGACGAGGCATGCGGCAAAGGATGCAACAATGGTGGAAAATGGCTGCTTGTTATCTCGAAATAATGAGTCGACGATGGTCCCAGGAAATAAAGGAGAGGGTTGGGTGTCTGGAGTTGTTGAGACCACACTTTCATCTCTATATAGCTATGATGCATTGTGCCAAAAGTCTTGTATTTCTCTCGTTGATTCTCTCTCTTTCTCTTTCTCTCTCTCTAGTAGGCCTTTGAATAAACTGATCTCAACAGTCGCCAAACTTTAATTCAATATTGTACTTCAAACACAAGGAAATTGCACGTTACAGTTTATAGTCACTTTTAGAGTCTCTCTCTTCCTGCATTGTGAATTGTGATTGGTATTGATTTTTCGCTCATTATTTAGTAGAATAATAATTTACTATTACTGTAGATTCGAAACAAAAAATCATTTAAAAACGGCTTAAAACTTATAGTGTTCGCTATTTTTTTTACCTTAAAATTATATTCAATATTTTTTAGTCGATATTTGAATTGTAAATAATTTCAGTCAAAATTGGTCTTAAAATAAGATTTCTTTATTTAAAAAAAATATTTTAAGCCCAATTTCGATTAAAAGTACTTTCAGAAATAACGATTTAATTTAAGATTTATATAAAGCGACTTATGTAAATGATATTGCGACTCGATTTGAAGGTACTTGAACTTATCGGCGCGGCAGTAAAATACGAAATGTACTTCCGGTTGAGATTTACGTTCAAAGTAGCCGTTCACTGGCATAACTTTTGGCCACAGAACAAAACTAAGTTACAAAACGTTACATATATATAATAATAGTGTGCGGCATATAAAATCCAGTCAGAGACGATGACACTTGCACTTTATTGTCAAGAACGTAAACTTCCCCATTGTTACAAATTATCTGCTTGAATTTAACTCAAGTTTTACTCAATATTATCTTTTTTTACTGCTGTTCTAAAAAAACCTATTTTTTAAGATTTAAAACTATATGAAAAGCTAAATTTATTTTTTTTTTAAACATAGAATATTTTTTAGTAAAGTTAGAAATATTACATTTCTTTTTTTTGAAGAAATGTATGCAGAAATAATTTAATTAATATGAGAAAGAAAGAAAAAAAAAAAGAAATTACAATCACAATGTAGTGACTGCAAAAATTGCTTTCATTTTTCTTCCATCCTCTCAAAAATCTAATATATATTTACAAGCTCTTTTAGATTTATTGTCTGCAGAATAAAAATGCCTGTTTTTACTTCTCTTTTGTTATAAAATTGTTTTTTCTTGGTCTTTAACGACAAACAATAATTTTCATCTCATATAATCGTTGCATTTACGGAAATTCAATTTTACTTTCAGTGCGCACCAAGTTGCAATATTCCATTCACGTATATTACCTATTCTATTTCTTTCTATTTTCTCTTCAAAGAGTGAATTGCATGCGACTAAATTCTCCACCATACGCTATTGTGTTGTATATATATAGTTTTTTTGAGGGGAAAAGTCTTCTAAAATCCTCTATAATATAATTTTGAAAATTGATTTTTTTCTTCTCAAAATTATAAACCTATAACTTATATTTGTTTCGGTTTTCCCTTAACTGCGCAGTTATATAATAGTGACAAAGCGCCTGTTCTGTGGCTCCCAAAGCGTCAGTAGATCATCGCCCTCCCTCTTTTCCTTTGGTTATGATTGCCAAACCTTTATCTATTGGTTGCAGTAAATCTCACTTTTGGACCATCACGTACCAGCGATTGAACCCAGATACGATAGAAAATGACCGGTAAAATAAAAATTGCAGGTACCAAACTTTATCTTTCATTTTCAAAGCAAAAATATCACATTTAGAAAAAAGTTTTTATTCCTCTCAATAAAGAGAGGAAAACTTTTTTTAATACTTTAAAAAAAATTGCGTCATAATGAAAGAAACTGAAACATTGTTTTATGTATGTGACAAATTTTTATTAAGAAAGTAGTTTTTTTTAAAATTATTTTTAATTTTTAATGGTTAAATCTGATTTTTTTATTGCTAAAAACTATAAATAAAAATAGAGTACAAGAATCGAAAAATGATCCGTTGATTCAACTCGTCACGTTATATTATATATATATAACCTGCAGTGATAAATCAAAAGTGAGTTTTCATTCTTCCTCCTCGGTCATCCATCATTCCAAAAGGGACAACGAATAATATACAACTGCAAATTGTAAATGTGGTAGTTTTGCTAAAATCGACAAGAACTTTTTACATGCACACATACACAACCAAAATGAAATTCAAAACCCGTCGCGTTTTTTTTCACTAAGTGCTTCAAGCTGATAAATCTTTTTTCTGCATTTACTCGTATTCTTTATTATATATAGTGAAACAATGTAAAAAAAGGAAAACTTTTTATATAATTCTATTTTTTGCACTAAAAAACTAGATTCTAAATTTAAGAATATAATCCATCTTTTATTCTTATTACTCTCTAAAGAATTAGTAAAAATTTTAACTAATTTGAATTAGTGTGCTTTTTGCTTTTGAATTAGAATTTTATTAATTCTATAGTAAAATTTTTTTTAGTATTAATTAGTAAAATTTAACTAATTCAAAAGCAAAAAGTGAGTCACTGATTAAAATTTTAAGAATCTTGTATTTTTAAATATTGAGAATATTCAATTTTTGATTAAATATTGTCATTTTTAAAGAAAATTTTTTGACTTCGTTTGACATATTTGTTCCAAGTGCGCAAAGTGCTTTTTTGTGCTCATGGAAAAACGACTATTAGTCATCGGTCAACTGGATTCATTTTATGGGTTAAGACAGCTCGAGTGGTTAGCTATTATATGGTTCTTACTTATCTAATATACGTTCACGTCGGTAAAATATACTCTAAAATTGAGAATTTTTAGTAATGTATATTTTTTTAGAGGATCAATTCTTAAATTTCTTATAATGTTTTTAATTTCGAATTGACCCCTTATATAACATGATGTGCAATCAATATCTGGCTCGTAACATTTTCAAAGAGTGACATAAAATACAACTGACCCCCATATAATCTCCCATATATGTCTCGATTTCTGGCGTGGTGCTTTTTTTTTATTCTGCACATGTATAGATATAGGAACATTTTTTTTCCAATGTCATAAAATGCAGTATATATAGAGTATCATTTACAATGTATTGTTGTAGAACCGTATTTTTACTGTTCGCAAATGCAATTCATTAAACGTTAAAGCAAATTTAAAAATTGAGTAATTTTTTATGAAATTTTTATTTATATTACAACATGTATTTATTACAACATAAAAACATTAATTTCTAAACAAAATTAATTACTAAAAAAAGATCTTCTGGAACCTAAATTACTTATGCTTTATATACATTTCTCAAGTCAAAAAGCTAATATTCACGAAACTGATAATAATTATGTAATGAGCATTTTATCATTTTCTCAATATTGTATATAGTACAAGTACAATGATATTTTCAATTATTCACAAAAGGCAATATTAATAAATACGCATTAGTCAATTAGTCCACATGAACATTAAAAATTTAATGTAATTGCATTAACGATCTCTCGGTCAGTGTTCAAATCTGCGCTTGACATTAACAATATCATTTCAGAAAATTTTAATTAATTTGTTTTTTTAGCAAAAAACAAGAATTATATATATATAAGAACATGATTGACAATTTCGATTAAAAATCTAAATTCCAGTTATACAGTTATATAGTTCTCAAAACCAGAAACTTGAATTTTTTTCGTAAAAAGTTAATGATGACGATTACGATATATTGCTTGAAGAACAGTTGCATACGACAAGGCTGACATGAAAATCTGTATTAAAAAAACTCAAATTTAAATTAAAAGATGAATTTGCGTATTAATTTCAATATTATTAATAGTTAAAAAAAATGTTACTTTATATCTTACGCTTTTAAATGTAAAAAGTGACATGGGAAAAAATTTTCCTGCCGTGAGTTTCAATGGCTTTTGCGATCGAATTATAATCAACATCAATGATCGTATTAATTTTGGATTACAATTGTACCAATCTATATCATAAACTTTATCTCCAATGGCCATACTCTTTAGAAAAAAAAATAAAATTTATACAAAATTATTATAAAATAAATATGAAACTAGATATAACTGGTAAAATATCAACTTACTCGATTAATAACATTTTCGCCAATATAATTGTATAAAAAAATCAAAACAGTTGCAGCAAAAAAGTAGACACTTTTGATGCAAGTTCCAGAAATATCAGCAACTGGTGAAACCTTGCGTGATAAAAATAATTTTTATATTAAAAGATAATTGATTTTTTTCTAAATATGAATCTATTGTTAAATATTTACCACAAGAACTGAAAAACCCACGAAACAAAGACTGATAATAGATATTACGAATTCCATTAAGAACATAATGTTAAATGAGCTTTCAAGGACTTCTGAGTCTCTATTTTAGAAAAATTATTATTAATATTTTAATTAAAGTAGAGTATAAAAAAAATTATTTTAACAATTGCTATACCTGATTAGTTTTAGATGTCGTTCAACGGTACAACGTAAGCATTTGCATTCTTGACGAATCATTGTTCTAATATGAGAAACATTTCTTGTATTCATAATCTGTTTGACATTCAATGCAACCACTTGTAATTGTCCACACAAATGAAAAACTATGATAGTTAAAAAATTATTGATTCCAATTACAATAGTGACGGTGTAGCCGGTTAAAAATATTTGCAACAAATAAGCTAGTTCATAGTTTGGTGATTTTTGAATATCAAAAGGATAGTACACTGGTAGTGGTAAAGATTTTTGTGAAAATTCCATACCCCATCCCATTAGTGGTCTAATTATAAAAACTGTAATTAAATTTATTAATTATTACTTACGGATTTAATTTAATTTTCAATAATTTTAATAATTACTTACGAATATAGGGACTGTACATTAAAGCCATACATAATGCATTAAGAAATCTCGCTCGTTTTAAATTTTCTATCATTACATATTTCAATTCTTTTTTTGATGGAATATCATTCCAATCGACAATCATATCTTGTAATAGAGAAACAAGTTTTGGTTTTGCCATTCTCACAAATATCACTCTAACAAATGTGAATGTAAAATTGATGCCCATGAAAATAGTTTCAACTTCTTTAAAAAAATCTTTCACTAATAAACATTTCACTATTATTGGCAAACAAGTGCATAAAATAATAATCAATGTAATATAGAATCGTAATTTTGAAAAACGATCATCAATTGGCCATAATCCACATAATCGCATACTCCAACGATTTAGTTGTACAGCAAAATCAAAATTATATTTTCTTTCCTCTTGCGTTAATATATTTCTTCTCCAACGATTAATTTGTGCAGCAAAATTAGATTTTATTTCTTTTTGCGATAGATTATTTCTTTTATGTCGATTAAATTGTGTTGTAAAATGAAAATTGGATTTTATTTCTTTTTGCGATGCAATAATTCTTTTCCAACGATTTAGTTGTGCCGCAAAATCAAAATTGTACTTTGTTCCCTTTTGCCGTGGCATGATTAAAAACAAAACACTTTAGAATACGTTTGGTTCGAGTAAGTGATAAAGATTTAATGAGTCTGAAATTATTTCGTAATAAAATTCGGCAGAAGTGTAATGAGTATTTAAATTATTCATAAAATGAAAAGATATTATGTCAATACGGATGTCATTAAAAACCCTTGGCTTGAAATATTAACGAAAAGACAAATACGCTAATGACCATTATGGAAATAAAAATGCATTTTCAAAATCTTTGAACTAATCTTTTTTTTGATATTTATTTTCAATGATTGCGACTTGATGCTTGAAGTACAGTTGCGTATGATAAGGCCGATATTAAAATCTGAATCAAAAACAAATAAATTAGAAACAAAAAAAATTTTTTTTTAATACTTAATGATTAATATTTACTTTCTTAAAAGCATGAAGTGACATGGGAAAAAATTTTCCTGCCGTGATTATCAATGGCCTTTGAGAACGAATAATAATCATTATCAATGATCGAACTACATTCGGATTGCAATCTTGCCAATTTATGTCATAAACTTGATCACTAATTGCTATACTCTAAAGAAATTATAAAATTATTATTTTATTTTTATGATATCGATAATAATATAGAAAACCTACTCGATCAATCACATTTTCGCCAATGTAGGCATATAAAAATATCAAAAATGTTGGAGCAAAAAAATAGGCAATATTAATGAATGTTTCAGAAATATGAGCAGCTGGTGAAACCTTAAATTAATAATTTAGCTTTAGCAAAAAAATAATTGTCAAGAAATATTAAGAATCGAAACAATATATTTACTACAAGTACAGCATAGCCTTGAATACAAAGGCTCATAACAGTGATTACAACTTCCATTAAAATCATAATATTAAATGAGCTTTCAATGAATTCTGAATTTCTGAAAAAAAGAATGTTGGCTTAAAATATAAGTTTTTTTTTTAACTTTTATTTTTATACCGTATTAGATTCAAATGTCGTTCCACAATGCAATGCAAGCATTTGCAATCACGAATGATTGATCGAAAATGAAGAATATTCCTTGAACTTGCAATATATTTAACATTCAAACCAATCACTTGTAATTGTCCACATAAATGAAAAACTATTGCAGTTAAAAATGTATTAATAGCCGTTGCTGCAGTTACGGTCCAATAGAAGAAAATAATTTGCGACAAGTATGTTAATTCATAGTTTGGTGATTTTGTAGCATTATATGGATAATATGCATCACAGGGAAATAATTGTTGTGAAAATTTATCACCCCATTTCATTAGTGGTCTAATTGAAAAAACTGAAGAAATATGCAAAATTTTATTTGCGAAATATTTCATTAATCATTAATCATTAATTTTTTAAACTCCTACTTACTGATTAAAACACCATATATTGATATTGTACAAACAGCAGAGAGTGTTTTTGCACGTTTTAAATTTGAAATCATGACAATTTTTGATTCTTCAGATAATGAAGTTTCATTCCAATCTATAATCATATTATCTACAATTAATGTAAGTTTTTCCTTTGAAGCATTAATGAATAACATTTTAATAATTGTTGATATTAGATTTATGCTTATTAGAATTGTTTCGATTTCTTTGAAAAAATTTTTTAAATAAAAACATTGTATTGTCACTGGTATTGCTAATGAAATAATAATTATTAGTGTTAAATAGAAACGTATTTTTGAAAAACGATCATCAATTGGCCATAATCCACATAATTGCATACTCCAACGATTGTATTGTATGGCAAAATCAAAATTATAGTTTACACTTTTTTTTAAACCCATATTTTTTTTTTTTTTTTTTTTTGTAAGACTGGAATTATTTTCTACTATATACTTGAAATGCACTTTCTTTAATAAGAAGTTCGTGATGCATTACTGATCGTTTTTAAAGGATTACTGCAATTTCTAATAATGATAATGATAATGAGGTTTTTTAATTATTCAAATCATACGGTCTCTAACTACCCTCGAGGAATATTAATTTAAGAAAAAAAAATTCTTTAGAAAAAAATGGAGATTTATTTAATAAAAACGCGAATTTTTAGCGAACTAAAAGGTTTTTTTTATTAAATTGATTTAAAAAAAAAGTATTAGATAATCAATTTTTTTTTCTTTTTTCTGACTTCACTAAGTTTATTATCACGTGTTCATTAATTTATTATACTGTGTCAATATAATAATGACATATGAATTTAACAAATAGAAAAAGGGGTAATTAGTATAATAATAGTAAGTCATTAAAATTTTAATAATGATTAATCTGTATGGAAAATTTTCTATTATTGTTATATCAATAGAAAAACAATTTGACAAGAAAACTTAAAACTAGGCGTTATAGTGGATCACATACTGATCAAAGAGGTGTTAGCATTTAAGAACACAATCCTTCCTTTAATGGAAGGGATCAAAGCTGTTGTTTTTGATTTAAGAAAGTGCATATTACATGGAACGAAGAATGATTACAAAACAGATTGAAAGAGATCGAACAAAAATATTTATTTTTTTTCTCAATTCAATTGGATTTATTGACATAAATGAAACGTAATTTCGTAAATTCTGAAAAGTAAGCACATTTTAGAAATAAATTTCTTTTGCGGATGCAACTGACGTCATCGCGCGGAATTGTATACTCAAAAACAAAAAAAAAAGAAGAAAAAGTAAGCTCTCACTTCCGCTTTGGTTTTATTTCAACTGGAAACAATTGCGCAGATACACCTATCGACCGGACGTCATTACTGTTACGATATGTTCTTTGAACTTCCGGAAGAAAGTGGATGTTGAAGAAGTATTTCGAAATGGTACTCAACTCTCGAGTACTACTACTACTACTACTACTACTACTATGTTTGTGTGTTGAATTTATACGTATAGTAAATGGAATGCAATCACAGAGAGTGAACGTATATTTGTATATATATAGAGAGAAATTGAAGAGAGAGAAAGAGAGACGATGGAACACGTGTGTTACACCCGCAACCATCGTACAATTGCAAAATCTCGATGTAATCTCTTGCCCCCTTGATGCATTTATAAAAAAAAGGAGCATTCTCTATTTGCTGACTCGAGTCGCGTTTCTGGGTCGGTTGAGGTCAGGGAGAAATATATTTTTTATACCGTTTGCCACACTGAAAAGTGATTATTACTCGAATGCAGTTCTTCTTTTTTTTTTTTACACATGGGGAGAGTATTTTTTACAGAAGAGAAATTATGAAGGAGGCTTTATAACAAAAGATTGCAGCTTGTGAAAAGCAATTTCATTTGAATGGAGGGGATTGCCGTTGCCTTTTAACTTTCCGCAATATGTATTTTTTTGAAATTACATCAAACTTCATGGTGGAAAAAAAGAGCTTTTCTTTTAATAAACTAAGTAAATTATTGCTTTTTTTAAACAAGAAAATTTTTTTCCCTTTTTTTTTAATGTTATTCATTTATGTTTATTAAATATTTTGCAGAAAATTTAATTTGATTTTCTCATAAAAATTGGAATTTTTAATTAAGAATTTATTTTTTTTATTAATTACACGCTTCAAAGAGATTTACTTTTTCTAATTAATTATTTTTTTGCTTCGTCTTTAGTTGGATGTTTCTTTTTGAAGAAAGAATAATTCTCTAAGGTGAATAATTCTAATAACCAATCGTTTCTCTATTAATCGATTTATATATCGAATGAGATATTCGAAAAATGTGGGAATTTTTAAAATAAATGAGATTAAGGGAGAATTTTTGAATGTGAGATTTTATGCAATGTGGTAGCGGTGAAAAATTGAAAAGCTGGAACAATTCCAAAAGTCATCGTTACCACGACCACATGGAGCGGTAACAACGGGTAGTTAATTACCTCATGTGCATTTGAAAACAGCCCCTTATCCCTGGAAAACGGCGTCACTTCTATATACTAAAGTCACGCTTGTGTGATTTTATTCCCTTCTCAAAGTCCATGGGTTAAAATTATTTTTGGAACGAGCGAAATTTATAATATACATATAAGCGAAGGATTTACAAAAAGGGTTGAAAAATTTTAATAACTGAAAATTTTTCCATCATTCTATAATAAAATTAATTTTGCTATCATAAAAAGGAATAGTAAAATTTTTTTTTAAATGTTATAATAAATAAGAGTTAATTAAATATTTTTCTTCACTACAAGAAATAAGATAAAATTTGATCAAAGTTAATCAAACTAAAAGTCTGCAATAATTTAACTAAAATTGTGAAATCTTATAAAGTAAAGAGAAAATATATTTTTTATATGAAAAAGAAGTGTGTATAAAATAAAAAAAAAGTGGGAAGAACAATATTTTTTCCGTGATCTGCATTCATAAATTTTAAGCTTTTAAATTGCCTTCATTCTACTCCTCGGAGACATAAACGTGAACAATTATGTATGTAAATACCTTAAAGTGAGAGAGAGAGAGAGAGAAAGAAAGGCGGAATAAGTACCACAGCTGCAGAATAATAATGCACCTTCCTTGGAATTTTAACAGTATTTGTCTTCTTTTTTGTTAATTTCCAACTATACTGAATTACAAGTAAACAATGTATAAAATATTCAAAAACTAACGATCTCGATAAAACTCCAACAATGTTTATATTTACCTAACGAAAAAACAAGCAACTGTTTTTCAACCACGTCTCATTTAGCATAGAAAAATAATTGAAAATTAGATATAGTTATTTAAAATTTATATTTTGAAATAATATTTAAAAATAAATTAAACGAAATTTAAAATATTATTCTAAAAAATTTAATATCATTTTTAAATGATAAAAAAATAAAATTTTAAATATTTCCGAAGATTGACAATTTTTTTTTGAGGTTAAGTAAAATTTCCATTTTTTTTCTATACATATATGGCTTCATGAACAATGGCAAACGGCTAAGCCACCCCTTTATGCCCTGACCTTGTGTTACTCAGGCAACACAGCTCAGCAGGGGCTGCTTATTAATGGGAAGACTTGTTGCATTCTCGTCCTTCGTCACGCTATGCACATTTCCAACCTGAAATTGCTGAGTGCATTGTTTAACGAACCACAAATTTTCTACCCTCACCTCTTTTGGCATTAAGGAGGTGGCACATTATATTAAAAAAAATAGTAACATTGAATGAAATTTCCACAACAGAAACATTAAAATTAGTCAGCATTTTTTATATCATCATCATTTTTTTTTTTTTTGAAAGTAATTTAAAATTTTAACATTCTTTTAAAATTCAATTATATTTAAAAATATATTTCATCTATAGTACAATAATTTTCAAGTTTCCAAGATGAATCCTGAAACGGACATTTCAGAAATAAAATTACTGCGTTTTCTCAGCTTTATCACTTTTCCAACACGGTTTCTTTTTTTATTGCCGACTCAGCACTCGTGGATCGAACAATTGATTCTAAATCTCGATGCATCTTCCATTTTCTTTAAAGTATAAATCTACATTTTACAAATCCCAGTTGGCTTTATATACAAGTTTTTTTTTTTCTTTAACCTTTAGGTGTCATATGTAGGTAACACAAAATACAAATGCTCATAAATGTAAAATTTCTACACAAAATAACAAGAATTTATCCAAAGTATCTTCCGTTCTATCCTACAAAATCGACTAAATTTATATCACAACCAACTTTATTGAAATTTTTATGTAATTTCACATTTTATGTCAAAAACTAAAGATGAAGAAGGAAATTGTACAAAAGTTTGAAATACAATTTTCTTATTATAATAATCTAAATATATTAATATCACATTAATACTATAATGTTTAATATATAATTATAATGTAGAAAAATTCTACGAGGTTATTAACATACATTACGATGAACATTAATCGACTGAAACGATTAGTAGAGAGCGGGCGATATTTATACTTAATGTGGGACGTCAAGGAGGGGATAACGGCCAATCAGCGCTAGCTCCCCCCACTCTCGATGGTACTCGTCGGTCCCTATAAAAGTACCACCACTTGCCAACTAGCGTCTCAGTCTCAATCGAGACTTTGAAGAGGCAATAGAAAATTTAAATTTTTCTGATTTTTCTTTGTTATAAAATAATTCAATTTTTCCACATATACTATTTCTTCACTAAATTTCATCGAACCAGACAATAATTTTGTTAATTAAGACCAATTTGAAATGTTCCAATTATGATTCATTTCGTATTAGCGAATAAAATGTAACAAAAAAAAGTAATATTTAATGATATAATTGCGAATAATCTTCAGCATCAATGTGAACTAATTAATTTTAAATCGGAATTTGCGTCCATTTCTCTAAATTATCTACGCTTGAATGAATTGTGCTGAATTAACAATCACACTTCATTAATATGTATTTTATTATTTTAAAAGAGTAATAAAAAATTCTTTATTAAAAAATAGAGACGAGATTTATATTTTTTCAATAAAACTCAATTGGAGTTTCTTTCTTCTGTTTTTCTTGATAAGTTACTTTCTTTATAAATAACGTTGCGTATAGCTTTGACCTTCTTTTCTAATCATCTTTCGACTACTTCCTCACTTTTTAGTTGTCTTTTACTTTGATCTTCACTTTTTCTTTCACTTTGACTTTCACATTCACTTTCTCAATTTCAAAATAAACTGAAAGTGAAAAAATAAAAAAGAAACTTTTTTTTTTTAAAAAAGAATGAATGAATTTTTTTCCTCTATTGTGAGGAAATAAAAGGAAATCGATAAATTTAAGTTTATTGACGCCGGAAAGCGTCGCGACGTTGAATCTAGAATATTTAAAGATATTATTCGCGGTGACTTAATTACAAG